ACAGGGGTTGTCCGTTGTCTGGCGAGACTAGAACGGCAACCGGAGCCTGGACTTGGCTCCACCTGTTGTTTTGGGCAACTCTGAGCGACGGCTCTTTGTTGCTCCTGACCGGTCGCTGAGGCTCCGTAGTTGGTGCTGAACAGCTACCACCGGCAAAGCCTGTGCGCCGCAGCCCTTTGTAGAGCTTCGCTTCTCTGTTTCACCGCTTTGCCAGTTTGTAGTTTGTAGTTTGTTGTTTGTGTTTGCTTCGCTTGTTTGTAGGGACCGAGTGCTACAGCCGTAGTCGACGAGGCCCAGTCAAGCCAAAAAAAGCTAGGCGCGGCGATTTCGACCCTCAAATGTTCTCATACCCTGACGTCTGTAAAGACACCTTTCCCTCTTGCCTCCGTTAGACGATGCCTCTCTGGGTTTGCAAGCACAGCCTACCCTCCTCCAGTCCGCAGGGCTATTGCATGCCGCATTGTATCGCCTCCACGCAGCTGCTACCACATCCGGTTGGAAGCTCAGTGCTGTGGTCGTGTTCTGGTTGCGCGGACCTCACAAAATGGACTTCTATTTCCCAGTACGCCTGTGGCGCTAGGGATTTTCAATGCATGGAACTGCAGGGCCCAAGTTCTACTCCACAAGAGTCCAATCAGGATGCCATGCCCGACGGTAGCCGTCCACAGTTTCGGCTTGGCAACTCTTGGGGGCAGGACAGCTGGCGAGCGGCGGCTCAGACTTTCATGGAGCAGGGTGGAATTGGCCCGGGCATACAGCTTCCTTTCATTGCCAAGGAGCTCATGCCGCATCTTCATGAACCAGACAAAGACACGCTTCAGTATGGCTTTCGCCGCCTCCAGGACTTGTATGCGGAGGGCCAGTCCAACTGCTTTACCTTCTGCGGAATCTCATTTCCCGACCAGCGGCAGCGACATGCAGCGCCTGCTGGACCAATGGCCCCCTTCGACTACGGAGCGTGTCCAGTAAGAAACTGGACTCCATCGGCCAGTCCCTTGTCCATGACTATCGACATACGTCGAACGGTCTTTTTCCCTAGCCCTCGCCACTGGTTGCCGGCTCCATGGACTTGTGGATTTTGCGTGCACGATTGTGACACAACAGGACCTCGGGGCCGACCGTTGTTCGACGGAACTAGAACGGCGGCCGGAGCCTTGACTTGGGCTCCACCGATGGTCTTGGACAGCTCTGGGCGACGGCCCACTGTTGTTGTGGATCGGTCGCGGAGGCCCGTAGCTTGTGCTGAACGGCCAACACCGGCAAAGCCTGTGCGCCGCAGCTAGCTTCTGCCCTCCTTTAATTAGCCGCCATGTTTCACCGCTGTTTTTGTTTGTTTGTTGGTTTGATGTTTGTAGGGACCGAGTGCTACAGCTGTAGTCGACGAGGCCCGCTCACGCCAAAATAAAAGATGGCATTTTGTTTCATTGGTTCTTCTTTCTCATTTTATGTTCTTCGCGAAACACCACCCTGTTGATTTTTTATGTAGGGGTTTAAGCATTTAGGATGTAGGTCATGAGACTGTGTGGTTCCAATTATCTTTAAATTTTAGGTGTATTTTGTCCAGGTTTACAATTGTTTTCCAGGCATTTGTGAAAGTAAAACTTTTTTGACAAATACTACTTATGTTGATTTCTTTATGTAAGGGCTTACGCATTTAGGATGTAGGTCATGAGACTGTGTGTTTCCAATGATTTTTGAATTCTAGGTGTATTTTGCCTAGGCTTTACCCGTATTGACGGGTTTAGGATGTAGGTTATGAGGATGTGGTGTGTTTCCTCTTGTCTTTCAATTCTGGGTGTATTTTGTCCAGGTTTAATTCCATTTTCCAGGCATTTATGTAAGTGAAGCTTGTTGACAAATGCTACTGCTGTTGGTTTTTTATGTAGAGGTTTACGCATTTAGTATTTAGGTCATGAGACTGTGTGGTTCCAATTGTCTTTAAATTTAGGTGTATTTTGTCTAGGTTTTGCCAATGTTTCCAGGCATTTGTGTAGGTAGGTAAAGCTTTTTGACAAATACTACTTATGTTGTTTTTTCTGTAGGGGCTAACGCATTTAGGATGTAGGTCATGAGACTGTGTGTTTCCAATAATTTCAAGTTTTAGGTGTATTTTGTTTAGGCTTTACCCGTATTTTGCAGGCATTTGTGTAGGTAAAGTTTTTTGACCAATGCTACTTATGTTTATTTTTTTATGCACGGGCTTACAGGTTTAGGATGTAGGTCATGAGGATGTGTGTTTCCAATTGTCTTTAATTCTGGGTGTATTTTGTCTAGATCTTACCAGTATTTTCCAGGCATTTATGTAGGTGAAGCTTTTTGACAAATACTACTTGTGTTGATTTTTTATGTAAGGGTTTACGCACTTAGGACGTAGGTTACAAGGATCAGTGTTTCAATTGTCGTCAAGTTCTGCGTGTAATATGTCTAGGTTTTCTCAATGTAATGCGCTTTTACTTGCAAATGCTGGTTATGTTGCATTGCTTTCTCGATGTAGGATTTTCCGCGTTTAAGAAGTAAGTAACGAATATGTGTTTTTCACATATGTTAGTTTGTAATTTCACCCTCCGAGCAGCAGTGCGCAGTCGAAACAAAAGGACGAGTTGGTCACGCGCAGCACTCCTTTGTAACATTTCCAAAATGATTTTTTGTCAATTTTTAAAATTTTTCTTTCTTTTTGCAGTTTCGCCTGTGAAGCGCTTTTGTCTGGCTCTCTCTTTTGTGTGTGCTGAAAAGAACGTTTTTGTTTATTTAAGAGCTGGCGCCTTGCAGTCGAACAGAAACAAAAAATGCAGCCGTACATTTGCAAACCTTTCCGAAATTAGATGTATTTCATTTATGGTTCTTTCTTGCTTTTTCACTGTTGGCCCTCTAAAGCGTTTTCGCGTGGCTTCCTTTTTTGTGTGTCAAAAAACAGTTTTATGTACATCTTCGGCATGAATGCATTTTTTAAAAAACGCTTTGGATTGGGCATGTCTTTTATGCCTGTTATGCGTTTTCGTGTGGTTTTCTCCTCTGTGTGTGTTGCAAGAACGGTTTTCTGAATTTTTTCGTTGAACAAAACTTACGAGAATGCAGCCGTTCCATTTGCAAACTTTGAAGCCTAAGCCTTCTGGAGCATTTTCGCGTTTGCTTTCTGTGTTAAAATAATAGTTTTATTGATCTTTTCGGCATAGAGCAATTTTAATATTTCCTCGGGTTGCGAGGGCGCAACAGTGTTTCCATTGTAAACCTTTCCAAAATGAGCTTTGTTGGATTTATCGTTGTTGTTTGTTTTTGATTTTAAGCCTTCTAAACAGTTTTCCTGTGTGTTCTGCTGTGTATGTGGTGGAAAGGATGCTTTTGTTGGAGGTCCAAAAAAAGACCGTGGAGGCCAAGAAGAAGATCCTACGGGGTTGGAAGAAAGACCCGGGGTCATCTACGAGATGTTTCGGGGCCGGGTAAAAGACTGCTCAAAAGCGAGCGTGGGGGTTGAAAAAAGATGGAGCTCTTTTTCCGAACCTCCTACCGGGGTTGGAAAAAGATGGGGGCCGGAAAACGACATATCGAGGTCGAAAACAAGACAGACCAAGTGTGGGGTCTAGAAATTTACATTTCGGGGTCGGAAAAAAGAGCAGCCCCATGTTCTCATAGGCCCCCGTTTTGTACGTTTCGTCTTCTGGTTGTCGGTGAGAAGCTTGGTGCAGGGATTGGACCGCAAACGAAGAAACAACTCGGGTCCACAGGAAGATGTGCCTGTGCCTGTCCCGGCGGGTCGCAGCGAGGTCACTGAAGAGTGTGATACTCTCCAGAAAGATGTGCCCGTGTCTGTCCTGGTGGGCCGCAGCGAAGTCGGTGAAAAGTGTGTTGCTTTTCAGATCTAGCCCCGGCCAGCTGTGAAAACCAAGAATGGTAGTACTTGTAGTTAATTCGCGAGTCCTTGCGGCCGAAGGCTGGTGGGACTCTTGATTGCAGAAGAGTTTTGCGCGGCGGTGTAACTTCCCAGATGCCAACACCTAAGCAAGGACGCTAGTTTTCTCGAGCCGTATGTGCTTGCTTGACAGAAGCCGCTTGGGCGGCAGAGATGCAGTCTGTTTGCAGTCTGTTTCGAGCAGTCATTCCGGAGTTGCGCTTTCCTTGAAGAGGTCAGTGCTGAAGTTCCGGGACCCGTGCGTAAGAGAAAGCAGCAGGGATGCATGAGGGCCTTCCACCAGGCATCTCGAAATTCAGCGCCGCCCCACCCTCAGTCATCAGCTGTTTCTTGCCCAAGCTGCTCTGAGCAGAGTGAGCGAGAGAAAGAGAGAGAGAGAGAGACTCATAAGGAAGGCGGTGGGAGTTCCCCTGAAGGTTCTGTGGACTCCTTTCGTGCAGGAAAAGCTCTTCAACCTCAACCGAAGCCCTCAATTACTTAGGGGTATTTAGAAATATTGTTTAACTTTTGGTTCAGTATAGATTAACGCCTCAAGCTGATGGCCATGGCTACGGACATCGCAGAGGCCGCGACGGTGTCTCTGCAGAGCTTGCATGCTTGGAGGGGCTTTTCCGAACAGCATCTGGCGCTCGGTGGCCCGTGCTTTCGGCAGCCTTTGTGTCGAGGGTTTGGGCTCTTGGATCCCAGCATTTAAAAAAGGTATTTGGGTTTAGAGTGTAGGGCTTAGGATGCCATTATTTAGGGTATTTCTTGGCGTCTCCCTTAGACTTCCCATAAGGGCTGGCAGACTGTTGCAAGCGAAGGGCTCTTCAGGTTGTTTCCGGTTTCAAGCATGCTTAAGCTGCTGATTCCCTGAAGCCGCCTCTGTTGCACTGGTTGGTTGCTTTCAGTTACAGGGGACAAGAGGCTGGAACAGTTCCCAGTGTCTTCTTGGAGGTTTTGGAATCCCAGCTAGAAGCAAGATCCTTGGATTTCAGTATCTTTTCTGCCCACCGCAACAGGGACTAGATAGATCACAACTACAAACCTTCAAGATGTTCGTGGAGCCAAGCGACCGAAGGATCTTGATGTCGCGTTCTCGTAGTGAGTTCCCATGTATAGTCGCAAAGAAGGGTTGATGGCCCGTGGCCTGTGATTTTCGAGTTGCTTTGCTCTGTAGCGTGACATCCATGTTGTGCGCCTGAAGGAATGCTGTGGACCCGCGACCTCCAGAAGTATTGCGCCTTGCGAAGCTTTTGCGCGACTTCAACCGCTTTGCGGCAGAGCATGCATCTCACCAGCAGGACCGTGAAGAGCCGGTCGATCCACTCTTCTGTTCCCTTGCCCGCGGTTCCTTTCTAGCGCGCCACAAGACCCAGGCCCAGCAAGCGTTTGACTTGCGCCTGGACTGTTGCGATCAGGGCAGGTTCGACTTTCTGGGCAACGACGCATGCTTTCCCGACTGGCCCTCCTGGTCGATTCGTGTTTGCTGCGCACACGCACTCTCCGCACTCTCGGTCTCGGCAAGCTCGGCAAGTCGCAAGGAAAGCGGCTTCGAGGCCTTCTGGAACCAGGTTGCAAGCGCGGAGCCTATCAAAGCCAATGCTGATGCAAAGCGTGGTTTCATGAATGCCGTCGTGGTGTATCACAAAGCTGGTACACAGCTCACTTCTGAAATTGTCGGCGTTGCTTGGACAGCAAGTTGCAAGCTCCGCGCTGACCGGGCATTGCATTGTGATCTGGCACGTGCTGAAGTTGAGTCATGTCGCTGTTCTTCGATTTTGTAGTTCGGCTCCTGCAGCATATGTGTGAGACACTCCCTACATTGTCCTAGAACAGGGTTTCAGGTGTAGCTCCTCGTGCCTGCCACCCATGTTCGCCCCAAGCAAAGGCGCAGGAAACAAGCGGAGGGCCTTGCAAAGGCCGAGAAAAGTTTCAAACCTAGGCCCTTGAACACGAAGCCCGTAACCGTCAAAGCCCTGTAAACCCTAAGCACGACCACGCTGAAGCTCTAAACCGTAAGATTCAAGACCTTGAAGCCCTCAGTTTTTCTTGACCCCGCAAAGGAACCCTTCTTTCACCAAGGAAGCTTGAAAAGAACCCTTCAAGGAATAAATCGCATGAAGCTTTTTGACAAAGCCGAAGATGGCTCCGAGGTGAGCAGCCCTGGACCCCTCGCGCTCTTTTTGCTTCGGAGCCCTCCGCCCAAGGCGTCCCACCAACCTCCTCCCGTCTTATCACCCCCTGCTGTTTTGGAGGCTTTTGAGAGTCGACTCTTCTTAAGCTTCTTGAGGGTTTTGAAGTTTAGGGTTCTTAGGGCTGATCTTCGGGCATTCGTGTGTGCAAGGGCGACGATTGATCTGAAACCCGAAGCCCTACGCCCCAAACAGAGGCTTGCAAACCCATCCTCTGGGCCCTTCGCTTTGGGGCTCTTCGGACATGAGGTTTGCCGGTGGCCACTGCCCTGTTCTTCTTTTCTTCACGAGGCAAACAAAAAAAAAATATATATATATATATATATATATATGTGCACATTTGCATATACACACATACAGGCATATACATATACAGATATATATATATATATATATATGAGCCCGATACCTTTAGGGTCTATTTAACTAGTCTGCCATATATACAATATAAGATCCCTATCTAAATCATATGTTCCTACATATTATATTACAAGACTTACGCTCTGAAAAGTTTGGCATTACTTAGGTCTATAATATTTTTATCGTTATTTCCAACATCAATGCAACGTTGAATCCTGCTTAATATACATTGTCACCTATACGAGCAACAGAATTTCATTAATTCGTACCTATAGCAATATCAGTACGAATCCCATGAAACACAAAGCAACCACACTCCAACCAAAATAATCATAGTAAGTATTGCTTACAACCCTGTCGCTGTGAATCCTACCTAGTGTAACTTAGTATCAAGACAATCGTTTATTAGGTATTGCATATACAATGTCAGTACCAATGCAGCCGGACAGGAATTACAAACGATGCAATCAAAAATAATTCTATAAAGTATCGGCTATCTGGTGCAATATAAACCTTCCTGTGCCTTTATTGAGACAGTTATTTTGGCATTACACTAAGCCATATCGTAATTTCTGTTCGACTGCATTAGTACTGACACGATATATACAATACCTAATGAATAATTATAGTGATGCTAACTTACACTAGGTAGAGTTCGCAGGGACAGGGATATAAGCAATACTTACTATGATTATTTTGGTTGTAGCGGTGTTGCTTTCTGTTTGATAGGTTTTGTAGTGACACGGACCTAGATAAGAAGCAATAGAAGTACTCTGCACGTAGCGGATATAGCTTACGCTGAATAGTATTCGTAGTCGCAGGGTCATATACAATACTTACTATAATTATTTTTGATTGCATCGTTTGTAATTTCTGTTCAACTGCAGTAGTGCTATCTGTTGCAACTCGGATGCATAACCAATTCAGGGCTCAGGGCGCTATCCCAAACCTCAAGCCTGTGTGGTGCCTCTTGATCTAGTCTTCTTCGGCTTTGTAGCTCCTGACCATCGCAGTCAGCCGATCACCACTGGCAAAAAGCCATCGTTGGATCTTGGACAGTAACTGTCCCGGGGCCCGGAAAGATCACGCCATCGGACAGTTGTTGCATCCAGTCTTCTTAAGGTGTGCTGGGCTTAAAACCTTATTAGGTCACTACCCCTTCCTGCCAAAGGCCGAGCGGTTGAACTGCATACGAGGATAGTTTGCCTTGTTCGCATGGCGTGAAAGCAAGCTTCAGGCCCGGAAGCATTGTGAAAGTAAATGACTGCAGTCTTGCTGGCTTGAAATGTATTTTCGTGGCTCGTAGTTGTGTGATTGGAAACAATCATGTCAGTCGTGCTGTTTCGCAAATGTACTGCTTTACCTAGGGCCAGCCCTTCGTTCGATGCCTGAATCAAGCAGAGGCCACATGCCTTCCGCAGCAATCCCTTTCATAGTGAACCGTCGCGGCTCACGCTTGCTCGGAGGTCGGGTACAACAAAGCTTTCTCAAAACCTGAGTCTTGTTATGCCTAGAGATCAGTCCCCGCCATCCGTGCTTGCCTTATAGCTTGCAAGGCAAGCCATCTCAGAATCGGCGGCGCTGCTCGCGCCTGCCGGATAAGGGTATGCATTCAGGATACTTCGAACTGTCGTGCTAACACTGCGCCCCGCCTCCATGGGCTGTGATAAATCGCAGCGTCGGTGCTACTCCTGCCACGGAATGTAATAACACATGGTACTACTTTGTGTTTTACAGTGATGTCCTCTTTGAGAAACGCAGCCACCGCGGATGCACTCCACGCAGCTGATCCTGCAGTCTGTGCAAGGAGACAATGCTCCTGCTTGTGTTTAGAGTTTCTTCTGAGAGTAACGCTTCCACGGCCTCGTCACCGCATGTCCCTGGCTCCTGTGCAAGGAGACAATGCTTTTGCTTGCACTTAGAGTTTCTGCTGAGGATAACGCTTCGACGGCCTCGTCACCGCCTGTCCCTGGCTCCTGTACAAGGAACCAGTGCTCTTGCTTGCGCTTGGAGGTTATGCTGCGGGTAATGCCTCCACAGCTTCGATGTCCTGGCTCGCTGTCCCCTGCGCAAGGAGACAACCAATCGCGATTCCAAAGGATATTCTGCTGAGGGTGAAGCTTCGGTCGCTTCGTTCAACTCGTACGTCGTCTCCTGGGTAAGGAAACAACCAATCACGCTTGGAAAAGATGTTCTATTGAGGGTAAGGCTTCCACACCTTCGTCACCCTCGTTCCATGTCTCCTGTGTAAGGTCACCACCAATCACGCTTCCAAAGAATGTTCTGTTGAGTGTAAGGCGTCCACCGCTTCTCCACTCTCGTTCGCTGTCTCCTGCGTAAGGAGACAACCAATTACAATTTCAAAGGATGTTCTGTTGAGTGTAAGGCGTCCACCTCTTCTCCACTCTCGTTCGCTGTCCCCTGCGTAAGGAGACAACCAATTACAATTTCAAGCAATGTTCTGTTGAGGATAGGGCTTCCGCCTGCAGGAGGCGTTGGATGTAGAATCCCTGAGCGCAGGGACTACTACAGAGAAAGTATGAGTTGCTGCTGATGCGATGTAAGACTCTGGCAGGTTCTCGGTTTGTTTCCGTCTTTTCCTGACAGATGATTGTGCAACGCAGCTCTGTTTTCAGTGCCCTTGCTTGTGGTTAGCGGTTCTGTGAAAGTAAGTCTTCGACCACTTCGTCGCAGTCGGTCGATGTCTCCTGCGCAAGGAGACAACCAATGATCTTGCTTGTGATTACAGGGTCTGCTGCGGTAAGGCTTCCGCAGCTGCGCTCTTCTTGTTCGCTGTCTCCTTTGTAAGGAGGCAAGCAATCACGTTTTCAATGGATGTGGTGTTGAGGGTAAGGCTTCCACCGCTTCGGTCCCCTTGTACGCTGTCTCCTGTATAAGGAAACAATCAATCACGCTTGCAAAGGAGGTGCTGTTGAGTGTAGGGCTTCCACATCTTCGCCCCCCTTGTTCTCTGTCTCCTGTGTAAGGAGACAATCAATCGCGATTCCAAATGATATTCTGCTGAGGGTGAAGCTTCGGTCGCTTCGTTCTCCTCGTACGCTGTCGCCTGTGTAAAGATACAATCAATCACGATTTCCAATGCTGTTCTGTTGAGGATAGGGCTTGGACGGCCTCGCTCCGGCCGATCGTTGTCTCCTGAATAAGGAGACAACCAATTACGCTTTCAAAGGATGTTCTGTCGAGTGTAGGGCTGCCACAGCTTCGTCATCCTCGTTCCCTGTCTCCTGCGCAAGGAGACAATCAATCAAGATTTCCATGGATGTTCTATTGAGGGTAAGGCTTCCACCTCTTCGCTCCACACGTACGCTGCCTGTATAAGGAGACAACCAAGCACGCTTTCAACTGATGTTTTGTTGAGTATAAGGCTTCCGCCGCTTCGTTCACATCGTACGCTGTCTCCTGTGTAAGGAGACAATCAATCACGATTTCAAAGGATGGTCTGTTGAGGGTCGGGCTTCCACAGCTTTGTTCTCCTCGTACGCTGTCGCCTGTGTAAGGATACAATCAATCACGATTTCCAATGATGTTCTGTTGAGGATAGGGCTTGGACGGCCTCGCTCAGGCCGATCGTTGTCTCCTGAGTAAGGAGACAACCAATCACGTTTTCAAACAATGTTCTGTCGAGTGTAGGGCTGCCACTGCTTCGTCATCCTCGTTCCTTGCCTCCTGCGCAAGGATACAATCAATCAAGTTTTCAAAGGATGTTCTGTTGAGGGTATAAGGCTTCCACCTCTTCGCTCCACGCGTACGCTGCCTGTATAAGGAGACAACTAAGCACGCTTTCAACTGATGTTCTGTTGAGGATAAGGCTTCCGCCGCTTCGTTCACCTCGTACGCTGTCTCCTGTGTAAGGAGACAACCAATCAGGATTTCAAAGGATGGTCTGTTGAGGGTAACGCTTCCTCTGCTTCGTTCCACTCGTACGCTGTCGCCTGTGCAAGGAGACAACCAATCACACTTTCAAAAAATGCGCTGTTGAGGGTAAGGCTTCCACCGCTTCGGTCCCCTCGCACGCTGTCTCCTGTGTAAGGAGACAACCAATCACACTTTCAAAGGATTTGCTGTTGAGGGTAAGGCTTCCGCAGTCTCTTCGGCATGCCATCCCTCAGCGCGAAGGCGTATATAGAAACACGAAGTTTGTTTGCATCATCCATGCTTCGCGAGGCTCCCACCGGTGGTGGGAACGGCGGCTCTCGGGGCCCCATAGCCTG